GTGATGTAGTACTCATTTTTGGCTTTCCACCAAATACACGAAACGATAATCGCGTTTGGCGTACGATCTTCATGATTCAAGGCCGCGAAAGACACGTGGATAATATTATTTTCTTGACGGCGCCGGAATTGAACTAGCCGTCTGCAATTTGTCATTTCGTATTCGGCCCAGTTTCGTGCCATTGTGCTGAGATCTCCTTGAATGGCCAGTTTTGTGTTTCGTAACGCCATCGTCGCATTGTCAGAAGAGTCTGCGGGTGGTGTTGATGAAGGGACCACCGGGGAATCTTTGAGTGTCGTCGATGGACGTAATGCCTGTAATGGCATATAGGGAAACAATGGCCATTGTGAGGTAGTTGTATAAGATGGTCCAACTACGGGTGTGGTTTCTGTCGGGATCTCGTATTTCGAGTTAGAGTTAATTTGTTCTTGATCGGTGCAATGGGTTGAAAATGGAAATTCATGAGACGATTCTATATTCAAGCGTTCTGTTTTTCATAAATAAAACGAAATTTAATTGTGTTAAAGTGTATAAAGTCATTTATGAAATGAATCTACCATGAGGAGAATTTGACGAGAGCAATTGTTGAGCTTTTGTGGGAGGAGTTAAAGCCGGTGAGGAATCCGAAGGAGATTCTTCCGCAGCAACGCTGACATAACCTTTGGGTGAATGATGATATAACAAAGGACGAGCAAAACGGGGCTTTCGAGATGATGTAAAATTTCGTGTGACGCTGGATTCTGCATATTTATTGATTAAAATATTTAAAGAATGAAAAAGTAATGAATTTATGGTCAATCGATTGATTTAATTACACGTGATTTTACCATCTAAAATTTCTTGTTGAGCATAATGAACTTTCGTAGATTTGCTTTTTCTTGGAGTGCTCGGTAATTGATCTGTGCAGAAATGATAAATTGATTAGTGTGTTTGAAACAGCGTTTTAAAGTCGCACAAATCGCAAATTTATTATTTACCTCGAAATTGATACTTGAAATTACCAAAATGCCAATCATCATAAATCTGATCCTTATCATCCAAAATATACACGTACAACGGCACACGATTCACAATACTTTTAGTACATGCGAATGGTGGCACCACGGTCGTAAGACGATGCTTAGTATCAGTGAGCGATGCAAATTGCTGCGATAACACTTTCTGATGTCCGAACGCTAATTCTAGATGACATTTTCGGTCGGTCGGGAGCGCAATGTCAAATTCTGCGGAAAAAGTTATGCCTTCTTGGCCAATATGTGGATCGAAAGCCACTTCACGAATTGGTGATTGCGGAGGTGTAGTGTTGGTGGTGGTAGCTTTTGTAATTGGTAGATGTACTTCTGGCGGTGGTACGATGACTGATAATGATGATGATGCTATGGTATGTTGAAGGTGGTTGTTGCGTGGCAATGATGAGAATTTTTGTGATTTTGTGTATCCTTAATAAATCAATAAATAAGCGTTATTAATATAATATGAAAAACAAATGTCTCACGCCAGTAGTATGTATATATTGCAAATGCTTACTTTGTTGTTGTTGCATTTTTCTATATGAATTTATATATATATATAAATTTTATAAGGAAATAACACACGTATAAACAGTATAGGTTTTTTTTAGCAAGGTATTTACTCTCTCTCTTACTTTTTCTTTTCAAGCACTGCTCATTCGGTAGTAGGAAAATATTTTTTTTATATACTACAGTGTGGAGATGAAAAATATTGGAAGGTGTGCTTGTAAAAACATGAAAATTTGAAGAATACTTTGCATTTACCGCTCTCAATATTATGTGTTATATATAGAACGGAAAGTCAGAATTCCGGAATTCGTGAATTCGAAATGACTCTTTTTGCTGCTGCTTCTTTCTAAGGTTAAGAGTTTGTCGTAGTTTTTGAGCGTCCGTTGAGTTTTTGGTTTTGTTGTGAGAGAAAAAAAAGAGAAAAAAATATGTAAGCAAGCTTATATTATCGCGTGAGAGATATACTGTAATTTGACAGAAATTTCTAGAATTTAACATTCAATGTCGATCAACGTCATCCTTTTATGTCTTCTTTCGGATCTTTCTAGAATCCGCCCTTCGCATTGCTTCATGAAGGAAAACCCTCAAGTTCAACAAGAAAATAGATTCTCATATTATTTTTGAACTATCATCTTGTTCGACCTCTTCAGTTTCGAAGATGATTCTGACTCACCTCTTTCTTAATGGTTATTATTTTGAGTAGTGAAGTCGGATCTTTGAGGATCATTTAAAAAGTGGACGAGATTGAAATTCAAAAATGACCGAACGAATGAATAAAAGCAAAGGAGGTAAAAAAAGAGACAAAATTGGCAGACTAAAGTGAGTCGAAAGGTTATTTTATCAATATCAATATTAAGATAATTTATCTATCGTCTATTGGTTTTATTATTTAGCTTTGATTATTGTGAACTAATGAAAATGAATGATTGTAATAATTAAAAACTAAAATAATAAAAAAATTTCTATTTGAGGATTTTGTAAAGAAACGAACAAACGCGCAAAATTATAAAAATTGAACAAAAGAATGGATCAAGCTCAAAAAAAAAAAAGAAAACGAACCGAACGAAAGAACGAGGGAAGGAAGTTTGTCGAGAACCTTTTTTTTAAGAAATATAATAGAATTGTGAAATATATAACCCAATAATAATATATAATATATCAATCAATGAATTATTATTATTATTATTTTATATTTTTTTGGCAGTATATACACACGCCTATATGATCACCTGGCGGGCAGCTCATCGTTATTGTCAATTCTATTTATTAATTGAATTTGTTAATGGTGGTGCGATGGCAAAGCCTTAGTTTAGTTGGATGATGTGATGCTTGTTGTAAGAAAATAGTTGATTGTTGTTCGATTGAAATGGGAATCGAATTTTTGATGGGTATTACTTTTTACTTCTATGATGATAAATAAATAATATAATTAATTGTACCAATCATTTTAATCTATATATATAATTTTGCTTTTTTATTAGCGGTAGCAATAGTAATATTGTTATTCGATAGAGTATGCAAAGTACAAATAAAAGATATGAGATTTTGTTTGTCAAGCAAGACGCGCGTTTTTTCCGATTATGCAATTATGCAATGCAATTTTTTGTATCTACAATAATAAACAAGAAGTTCTAGCTTCACTTTAAATTCACAATCATGGATTCGGTTGGTAGGTTGTGGGCCAGACTTCTGCACTAAGTTTTTTCTGCGATATTAGCATTTAACAGACATTTGATATTGATAATTTTAGAAGTCAGGGAGGTCAGCTACATCTTGATAGCTCTGAGCATTCATGTTCTTGATCAGATTCTACACGCAAGGTGATGGCATTTGGATTTTTGTTTCCCTCTTGATCTCGCTTAGCCTTGGTATCAATATGCTATCGTTATCACCAAAATTCAATTGCCTATTCTTTGTCAGATATTTCTGCCAAAAATGATTGCGCATCTTCATTATCAATGATGAATATATATATATCTTTAAGATTTCTTCTTCCATCAATGAAGTTCCAGGATTGTTTCGTCATAACATCGAACACAATATGACTATCTGGAAGGTTATTTGTTCTCGTGGAGACTTAACACAACATTTTGCAAAAAGAAACAATCTTTGTGCATTATAAGTTTGTGAAAATAATTAAGAGATATATTTTTACCATCTGGAAATTGTAATACAGATTAAGAATTTCAAGGAATATCAGATTGCAAATGATTTCATCCTAATTTATAATTAATTTAGTGAAATGGTTCATAGTAAAGGCAAAAGCTTATCGAGAATGTGATACTTAGCTTATAAGTTATCATTATAAATACCAGCAAATGAATCTGCACAGTATTTTGTCAACTTGACGGAATCCTTCAAGATCTTATGATTTAAAAGAATTATACCCGCAATATTATAAATTTAATAGGAAAATTACTTTAAAAATAAAAATTTAAATAATAATATCTATATAATTAATAAAATAACTTGAAATCAAATTGAAAAGACTATGATTAATAATTTAAAAAATATGCCAATAAAATTTGATCATTCATCTATTTATCCAAAGCTAAAGAGTAGATTAATTAGATAATACTGTATTTAATTCTATTATTTTTATCATATTCATCTATCAGGTACACTTTATATTATTTGAGTTATAAAATTTATTAATATATTAATTAAATTAATTTTTATATAAATTTATAAATTATTGAGAAAAATTTATCAAGACTATTTAAAAGATCATTTCTTTTAAAGATATAAAGATATATCAAAAAATTTAATTAAGTTTTTCAATGATTATATCATGTAAGTTAATAATTAATTTTCTTATAAATATTTATAATTATCTAATTTTTTTATTGATTAAGTTATTATAATCAAAATTTTAAAGAATAATTAAGTATATTTACAATAAATTTTCATTACTTACTATATATTAATGAATATATTACTTGATCAGAATCATATTAAAATTATTAGTAATTTTTTAGAATGAATAATAGAAATATTATAATCAATAATTTATAACAGATATCATTCTTATATTAATCTAGTTAAAAATATTAAACTATGAGAAATATTCAATTATTTATCTTTTTTTAAAATATCTTAGAGATTATTTATTAAATTCAATGTTCAGTTATTTTCAAACTAATTTTATCTTTTATTTTAAGAAAGATATAGAGTAATTATAATAATCCTAAATATATATTATACTAAAAGAAAATGAATTTGACAGTTATATACTTGGTATAATACTTACATGACTAGAAAATTTTAAATAGATCAGATTTAAAATCTTAAATATTAATTTAAATTTCTTATAATTAATATTATTTTAATTTAATTATTATCAAATAATATTTAATATATATGATTATTAATTAAAGATAGTTATTTAATTAAATTAAAAATTTTAATTTAAGATTCTTTATTATTTTAAAATAATTATTATATATTAGTAAGTATGAGATATCTTTAAATTTACTATTATTAATATAATAAGATTAATTTCTGATTTGAAATTAACAAAATTCTATTAAATACAAGATATAATTCATATTTTTAAAATATCAAGAAAATATATTATAAATATATCATATTCTATTTTTAATATATTTATATATATAAATTAAATCAAGTTTTATTTTAAATTATTTTAATAAATTTATATTATTTATAAAAAAATTTATTAAAAAAGAAGTATTCATAATTTTATAAGTTTAGTTATATTAAGATCTAGTAATTTTTATTATTGATCTTAATTTTTATTATTAATTTATAAATAATTATAATTTATTTTATTTAATATAAATTCTGAGAATAAATTTAAGTTTTTTCTTATATTTTTATATTATATCATTATTACAAACTATACTCTGGAAGGTAGATTTTATCATAAATATAGTTTATAATAGATTTTGAGAGTGAAAACTGAATTATTTATAAAGGTAAAGAGGATTACAATTATTCTAAAGATTTTCTAGTGCTAATACTTACAAATATTATATTAACACAAGGTAAAAACAAAATAAAACAAAAATATAAAAACAAAGTTGTGATCATGAATTTTAAACTAAGAATTGATACTGAAAACTAAGCAACAAATACTTAAAAATCAAGATAACAAATATCAAAATGCAACAAATACAAAAACAAATAGTAACAAATGCTAAATTAAGCTTTTATATATGAGAAAGCTTCAAGAATCTTCTAAATTAAATAAAATATACTTGGCTTATTTTAAGTAGAGAACATCCATTACCTAAGTTTTTCAGACAAGAAAAACTTGTAAATAACAAGAATATAATCTATTATAATAGAAGAGGTAAATGAAAATAAGTTATCAAGATAAAAATCAAAGGGAAAATTATAAGATAAGTATAACTCAAGTATTTTCAAAAGATAATTAAATTATTGCTATTCAAGTATGTTTATTTCAGATCTCAGAATAGAGATATTTATATATCTTTGAGGTTTTACAAGTTTCTACCTAAACTCATTTGCTACTCTAAATTATAATTACAATCTTTGAAGCAAAGATTCAATAAATGAACAAGTAAAAATAAGAGATAAGATATATGTGGTAAGTTAAATAATATTATAAATGATGAAATAAATAAAAAGATAAGATAAATATTCTAAAAAGAAAAGATAAATAATAAAAATAAATAAAATTTATTACTAAATCATTTTTAAAATATTTTTGAATTATTATTGAACTATTTGTAAACTATTATTGATTTCAGGACTTAATTATTTATTAATGATCTTAGAATATTGCAAAAATATTACAATATTACAAAAATATTATTGAATCATGATTGAATCTATAATTGATATACTAATTATATTATTTAAAATCACATATATTTCAAAGATTATTTGATTGGTCAAATTTTCCAAGTTTGAAAAATTATGAAATTAAAGAAATTTATGTTACTACAGTAACATTTAATTTCTCTAAGTAAGATCAAGCTCTAGCAAGACTATTAAATTCTTTTCAAAATTTCTTTGATTTCTTCATTTTTTATAT